AGGGTGTCCTGTCTGTTTGTTATTTTGTTTAATGTTTGCTTGTTAGTGAGTAATATATATATATATAATATTATATATTATATATATATATATATATTATATAAATATAATATATATTATATATACATATATTAATATAATCATATATTATATAGATATATATATATATATATATATATATATTATATATATATATATAGGTATATATATATTATATATTATATATATATATAATTGAATGATATATATATATTATATTATATGTATATATATATAATATATGTATATATATATGGTGTAGTGTGTGGTGTGGTGTGTGTGTGTGTGTGTGTGTGTGTGTGTGTGTGTGTGTGTTGTGTGGTGTGTGTGTGTGTGTGTGTGTGTGTATGTATGTGTGTGTGTGTGTGTGTGTGTGTTTTGCGTATATGTGCATATATTTCTCTGTTTATTCATACCATGTATTCATGTACTTTTTCATGGTATTTCGCATGACTTTTTATCTGTCTGTGTATATGTCTCTTTATATTTAAATTTCTTTGTCTGCCTGTCTCTGTCTACCCACCACTCTCTCTCTTCCTCTCTCTCTCTCTCTCTCTCTCTCTCTCCTCTCTTCTTCTCTCATCTCTCTCTCTCTCTCTCCAGCTCTCTCTCGCTTCTCTCTCTAGCTCTCTCTCTCACTCTCTCTCTCTTCCCTCTTCTCTCTCGTCTCTCTCTCTCTTCTCTCGCTGTCTCTCTCTTTCTCTCTTCGTCTGTCTCTCTCTCTGCTCACCGTCGCCCTCTTCGTCTCGTCTCTTCTCTCTCTCCCCCTTCCCTCTCTAGCTCTCTCTCTCTCTCTCTCTCTCTCTCTCTCTCTCTCTCCTCTCTCTCTCATCTTATCTCTCCGTCTCTCTCTCTCTCTGAAAGAGATATCTCTCTCTCCTCCCCCTCTCCTCTTCCCTCTCTCCTCTCATCCCTCTCTCCCGCTCGTCCCTCCCTCTCTCCTCTCTCTCTCTCTCCTCTGATCTCGTCTCTCTCTCTCCTCGTCTCTCTCTCTCTCTCTCTCTCTCTCTCGTCCCTCTCCTCTCTCTCTCTCTCTCTCTCTGTGCTGTGTGGTGGCAGCGGTAGCCGATCTCGTCTAGCAATCTTGCTGACCTGCTGCGTTCGAATCCCTCGCCACCAGCTGGATGGTAACCCTGACCCCGGCCATTCCTTGCACACAGGGGATAATTTAGAAGCAAAATAAAACAGACAGTATGTCACACCAAGAAATATCCATTGTAACAAATGGAATCAAACGAACTTATAACTCTCTCTCTCTCTCTCTCGGTCTCTCTCTCGATCTCTATCTCTCTCCTCTCTCTCGTCTCTCTCATCTCTCTCTCTCCTCTCTCTCTCTCCTCTCTCACTACCTTCCTTCTCCTCTTAAGTTTTGATCAACGTAAGACAAAGGAGAAGTTTTTGCATTCCAAGTACAGACAAGCTGAGAGAGAGAGAGAGAGAGAGAGAGAGAGAGAGAGAGAGTTAGAGAGAGAGAGAGAAAGAGAGAGAGAGGCAAAAATGACGATAATGATGGTGAAGAGGGGGGTGATGTTAATGGTGACGAAGATTATTGGCAGTGGAGTTAATGGTGATGACAATGACAGTGGCGATGATGATGTTGATAATGATAGTAATTTATAAAGATAATAATAGTAGTAATAGGAGTGTTGATGATAATCATTAATGTTTTCTTTTCTTTTCTTTTCTTGTACTTAATGAATAATTCCTTGCTCTTTTGAAATTGGTTCTTCTCCGTTGTGCTCGTTGCATTCATTTAATTAATTTCTCAGTGTTTCAGCTCAGAGCTCTTTCATTCGAGTGCGAGTGAAATTTTTAAAAAACTTCCTTGAATAGATGAAAGAGAGGAGCAGAGCAACAGTATTAATAAGAGTGCATGTACACATAAACTGGATAAGTGAAAGGGTTTAAAAAAAGAACTAAAGATAGGTGGGTGAAAATGAGGAAAAGGAAAATGACTAGAAGCGTGAAAGAAGAAGAAGTCCAAAGAAAGGGGAAAAAAGGAAAAAAAAAGGAAACTGGGAAAGGGAAGAGTAAGAGAAAAATACGAAAGAAGGAAATGGAAGACGAACACAAAGTTTGTGAAAACATGAGAGAAAAGGTGAGGATGAAGAAGAGGGATGGAAGAATAAGGAAGAAAAGAAATGAAACAGAGCGTGAAAAAATATAAGAATAAAAAATATATATATTTACAAAGCACAAAGGAAGAAGTTTCTCCAAAGCAATTGTCTAAACTCAAACAAGCCATTAAGGACGTTATTCAAGTGATGATCGAATCAGTGTTTCGACCTAACGAGGCTTGTACAATACAGGGAGAGGGCGGGCAGGGGAAGGGGAGAGGGAGGGAGGGTGGGTAGGCAGGGAAGGTCAGGGAGGAAGGGCGGGGGTCAGAGGTCAGTCTTGATGGGGTTAAACGTAATTAAATTTGCCCGCACGAAGATTAGCTTGGCGGTAACTATCTCACAGCGGTCAGCATCGTGTCTAATGACCAGTTCAGCCGAGGTTATATTGGGTTAAAGCGACTGCGTTAATTGCCTGCGCTGGACAAACCTCCCTCTTCTAGTTCCTCCTCCTCGCCGTCCCCCTCCTCCTCTTCCGCCTCCTCTATCCTCCTCCTCCTCCTCCTCCTCCTCCTCCTCCTCCTCCTCCTCCTCCTCCTCCTCCTCCTCCTCCTCCTCCTCCTCCTCCTCCTCCTCCTCCTCTTCCGCCTCCTCCTCCTCCTCCTACTTCTACTACTACTACTACTACTACTACTACTACACCTCCTCCTCCTCCTCCTCCTCCTCCTATTCCTCCTCTTCCTCCTCAGCCTCCTCAAAGTTCACCTTCTCCTCCTCCTTTCCCTTTCCTCCTCCTCATTCACCGTCTCTTCCTCCTCCTCCGCCTCCATATCCTCCTCTCCTTCGCTCACTCCTTCTTCTTCACCTCCTCGTCCACCTCCATCTGTCTTCTCCCCTTTTTCTATCCCCAACTTAATAATCGCAGCTTTTCTGGATTTCTCTTCTTTTATCTCTTTTTCCTTCTGTTTTTTCTTCTTTTTTATCCTAACTCCTTCCCTTTCATTCTTCTTTTTCTATTCCTATCTCAGATTACCATCCATTTTTACAGTGGATGTTTTTTTGTTTTATTTCAATTATTCTAGTGAAATTATAAAAACATTTAAACCCCTTTCATTTGACTTCATCACGCGCGTTATCTCTCCGATTAACAGATTAATGGCGTGATGTGAAGATTGATAAAAGGCAGAAGATGGAAAGATACACTTCTGGGTACATAGGAGGAATACGTTGCACCACACACACACACACACACACACACATGCACACACACACACACACACACACACACACACACAGCACACACACACACACACACACACACACACACACACACACACACACACACATATATATACATACATGTACATATTTACATATATATATTTTTTTAAACAGACAAACAAGCAATCATAACAGACCTATATACATGAAGAGAAAGATTAAGGAAGGAAGAAGATAACGAGCGAATACGGGATAAGGAGCAGAGAGAGAAAGGAGGGGAGGGGGGGGGCACGCGAGTACAGGAGGCATTGTACAGGTTGATTACGAGCGAACCTAAGTGGGTTTTGGTCGAATTTAATCCATCACAGTCAGGGGATTAAAGGAGGGGGGGGGGAGCGTCCACAAGGGGGAGGGGGAGGGGAGAGAGGCGGGATAGGGGAGGGGAGAGAGGAGGGAGAGGGGGGGGGGGGAGAGAGTGGAATGGAGAGGGGATAAACGTGGGAGAAGGTTAGATATGAAGGGATGGCGAAGAGATAGACAGAGAAGAAGGGTAGAGATAAGAGTGGAGAGGGAAGAGGTTGAAGGAATGGGGAAGGGGAGATGGTAGACGGGAAGAGAGATAGGGGAAAACAGATGAGATGGAAGGGGAATACCAGCGAGTGGAATCAGAGATACTCGGAGGGAGGGGGCGAAGGAGAGAGCTAAATGAAGGAGGGGGAGAGAGAGGGAGAGGAGAAGCAACAGGAGATACGGGAGTGGGGAGGGGAAAGGGGGGGAGGGCCCGTGAGAACGAAAGGGAAATGGGACAGCGAGGGCTTCGGGAGGGAGGGGGTGGAGGTGGGCGGGGGAGAAGGGGGGAGGTTGCAATCCCGTTTTGCATGCACGTTGATTATAACAATGATTAGTAATATCAGTGTCGATAATAGCCACGAGAAAATGGAACTCTCGCTGTAATTATGAGACTGTTTTGGCGGCTGTTATTATGGTGAAAATAACGTTCGGGTATTGGCGTCTAACTTGCTGTAATGAGATGTAGCAAATTGTTTCGATAGATCACCATTCTTTTATATAAATAGACTGATATTTCTGGAAATAGATAAATAGATAAAACGAGGGAAAGGGAAAAATCACACATAGATAGTGAAATGATTTTAAGAATCGTCGATAAAAATTTAAACAGAATGAATAATTCACGCGACACACAAAGGCAAATTGATCATTCTACAAACGGCATCACTGATATACCATTATAGTGATAATCATAAATATCTAAATATCCATAAATGACATTAATACCAGACACCCCTTCAAACATATTCCAAAAAACCCTATCTATCCTCAGCAGCGACCTCTCGTGACCTCTGTCGGGTTAGAGGTCAGAGGGCAATGATTCAGTGTTGCCATATGGAGGGTGTTCAATTGTCCGGGAACTCGTAGGACAAACGGTTGGTTTTAACGACATTTTACGGCGCGATTTTTTTTTTTTTTTGAGAAGAGGGGGGGGAGGGGGCTGTATCATAAATCTGTAGAAGGCGGTATATTAGGGTGAATGGGAGTGGGGGGGGAGTGTATGGGAAGGGAGGTGGGAGTGGGGCGGAGGGAGAAAGGGAAGGGGAAAGAGGTGGGAGGGAGAGATAGGGGGGGGGGGAGGGAAAGGGAGAAGGGGGAGGTGAACGGGATGGA